TGAACTCACCATCAAATTGGTATTAACTGATCAACACTTAAGTGCATGTATAGTAATAACATTCTTTGGATGTGGGGCAGATGGGAGCGGGGAGGTGGGGATGGGTATATTCACACCTGAGGGGTGTGGTGCACACTGTCTGAGGGATGGACACGCTTGAAGCTCTGACTCGGGTGGGGCAAGGGCAATTTATGTAACCTAAACATTTGTACCCTCGTAATATGCTGAAATAAAAAAAATAATAAACATAGGAAAATACAGTAAAAAAAAAATACTACAGGTCAATTTCACTGGTAAACCTACATGCAAAGTTCTAAATGAAAAATTAGCACATCAACCCAAATTATGATATCCTCATATAACACATTATAATTAAGTAGAGTTTATGCTAAGAATTCATATATGTTTGCATTGGATGTTCTATCAATAATACTTAATATTTAAGATTAAAGAAGGAATTCATTAAACATTCCAATTGTTGGGGATCAGATGTTCTTTGCTGAGTTTTTTCATTTTTCCCACCAATGTGGAGAATATCACCAAAGATTCAATTCAAGTCTTCATGTAGGATTTCAAAAATCTTTACATGTAAAAATTTCCCTAAATCTATTGGAACATAGCACATATAATTGGTGTGGGTAAGACAAGGGGAAGAGCTTTGGGAGTTGAAAGGAAGATGAAAGTTTGGCTGTTTGGACTTGAGCCATTTTCCTTATTCAACAAACCAGCAAATGTGTAATAACAAAGAATCTCCCTGGGACACATCTATCTTCCCATGGTCCCCGTTCAATCCTTAGTTCTAAATAAAATGGAGAAATGGGAAAAGGGGAAAAGAGTGGAAAAGAGTGCTGAAAAGAGGAGGTTTTCTTAAGTCAATATTTATTATGTTGTGATAGCTCAGCTCAAAAGCATGTATACATCTGATGCAATGCTCTTATAAGAGTATTTGATCTGAAAGAAGTGAAAACTTGTTTCAACTTTCTCAAAATCTGTACATAACTGAATTAGGTATGTTTTCTATATTTTATGTCAACCACTTGCATGATCTGTTTGCTTGGGTTCTCTCTTTGGAAAATGATAATAAGACCTTTAACTAGAGAATGAAGCTTAGAGCAATGGCTTATGATATTTGGACTTTTGTTCAAATTCCTTTGCTTTGACCACACAATATTTATATCCATTTTGGTGTGGAGCATAAAATTGGATGTTTGGTGTGATAGGAAAATGTTTTAAGGATCAATTTCTGTAAAATTTGAGGTGTTTTCTTCTGATTCTAAGGGTTTTCTTCTGAAGTAGTGAATAGGAGAGACTCTGCAAAAACATCCTGACATCATTTTACATTTATCTTAGTTCACCCCAGCCCAGTCCATCACCTAGACAAAATGACATTAAGTAGAGGGATACAGTGTCACTCTCTATGATGATTGCTAGCATTCTTCTTTCTCTCCTGACCACATCTCATTAATTTTTCATTCATTTTCAGCAAAAGACAGTTGCCATTTCATAGGTGATTGACCAAATTAAAAGATGTGGTCAAGAACAATTTCATTCCCAATTTTTAAAATAATACATGCTACTTTTGGACAAAAATTTCCTTCCCCACAAGAGAATGCCCTAGGAGGGATGCCTCCACTCACCCAACTGATAACTATTGATCTAAAAATCCTTTGTAGCAGTTTCATTTTAGGTATTTTGTGACAGTATACACTGTCACTCATTTGATTATTATTATTATTTTTTATGCTCAGGTGTTCGGAAGAAACTTTGTAAAAGGTAATATAGCAACAAACCATGTAGCAAATATTATCAGGCAATAAAGCTTTCCAGACTAATATATTATAAAACAAAATTTATCATTTTAAACAAAAAACATTAACCATTTTGGAAAACAAATTATATGTCACCTCCCACCTTTTTGTCTAGAAAGGGCTACTATTATTAAGTTCATTTATAATACAACTAGTAATATTCAATGATATTGAATAAACCAAACCTCTCATTTTCTAATCTGGATGATTCCATTCATTGTATACTCTTAAGCCATGTCTTTTGAATTGCATTAGAGAATCTACGGTCAAGGGTTGTGGAAAGAGCTGTGAGGACTTGGGATGAAGTGTTGGATTTGTTGTTTGCTTTTTAGATAATATTGAACATATCAGTTAACTTTTTTGAGTTTCAATTTTCTTATGTAGAAAAATGAGGACAACTATCTCTTTCTTACCTCAGTTTAAGGCTCACATATTGCATGTAAAAATGCTTTCAAACTAAATAGTTTTGCAAACTGATACCACTCCCTTTTTAAATAATATTTTATAGAGTCTGACACTTAATCACTTCTAATTATAACACAGAAAATAAAAAGGCAGAAACTTCTTTCTTAAAAAACAAAAACAAAAATAGACAAAAAACTCTCCTTGTCAGCTAAAAGATTTGCATTTCTAAGCACAATTCTAAAAAATAAATTATCAGATAATTTTCTACCTTCTTGGAAGCTTTTTCTGCATCCTTCCAAAGAAGCTGAAGTGAAAACAGGCAAAATGGATTATTTTACAATCTATTTGCAAATTATTTATTATCTCTAGTGTTTATTATCATAATTTTTTGTTCATAATACCATTTTTCCTGAATGAGACAGCATTATTTTTTGTTAGATATTTTTCAAACAATTTACCTTATGAGGTTAGAGAAGTTCTAATGAAAGCCTACAAATTCTATATCCTGAATACAATTACTTCTTTTGGAAGGCTGCTGCACTGGTGAGTGAAATACCACAGTTGATCTTCACATAATCGACTTTTTAATGACCTAAACTAAATCAGATCTTCGTATTTCATGGGTATTATCACCTTATCTATTGATATTTTGTACTGGCCTATGGGCCATCTCAGTTTGCTTATTCTCATATGGTGCAATATTAGCTGCAAGGGGCTTTAGTTCAAACCAAAACAGTTATCATAATCTCAGAGACAATATGGATTAAACAGTTTTAATGATGTGGTTGCAGGTGTTATGTAATAGAGAAAAGACAAAGGCAAGAGTAGAAAGAACCATAGTAAAAATATAGGGAAAAATATAGTTACTTTCCTTGTAAATGTTGCCTCTTAAAAATCTCTAAGAAATGCTGTACAAGCATCAAGATATCTTAGCATCTCAGGAGTTAGCATTAGCATTAATAGGAGTTATCTTAGCATTAACAGGAGTTAATTGATCTTTGCAATGTATTAATACATGTTATTTGTTTAGAATCAGATTTAACCTATACATTTATAAAATGGAATTGTTGACATACATGGTTGAGCCGCATAGCTATCCTTCATTAATAAGGAAAGTTGAGAGAAGAATATATATGTCAAAATTACAGGTAAGACATTTCCTAATAAGATAACTCTAGAGCATTTAAAATTAATGTTGAAAACAACACTTTAGGATTGTGGTCTACTTTTCTTGCTCTTGATAATAATCCATTAGTGTTTATCTTTGTAGGTACTTCTTTTGTAGCTTGAGACCATGGACCAGGGAAATTATTCTAGAGTGGATGAATTCGTATTGCTGGGACTCTGCAGTTCCTGGGAGCTCCGGTATTTCTTCTTTGTGTTTTTTAGCTTCTTATACATTGCCATTGTGTTGGGCAACCTGCTCATTGTCTTTACAGTGATATCTGAACCTGCCCTGCATACACCCATGTATATTATGCTCAGTAATCTTTCTGTTCTTGATGTTTTTCTGGCCACTTATGCAACCCCTAAGATGATCCATGATTTTCTTCATGAGCCCAAGACCATCTCCTTTGAGGGCTGCATGGCCCAGATATTCTTGCTCCATGTGTTTGCTGGTGGTGAGATGGTGCTTCTTGTAGCCATGGCATATGATAGGTATGTAGCCATCTGTAAACCTCTCCATTATGCAACCATTATGAACTCGTGCAAGTGTACAGGTTTGGTGGTGAGCTCTTGGGTCATTGGGGTTATGCACTCCTTGAGCCAGTTAGCTTTCACTGTAAATTTGCCCTTCTGTGGCCCAAACATAGTAGACAGTTATTATTGTGACCTTACTTTGGTCATCAAACTTGCCTGTACAGATACTTATGTTCCTGAAGTGTTGATGCTTTTGGACAGTGGCCTCATGGGGATGACTTCATTTTTGCTCTTGCTGATCTCCTATACGGTCATCCTGATTACTGTGCGGCGTCATTCCTCAGCAGGCATGGCCAAGGCCCGCAGCACTCTGACTGCTCACATCACTGTGGTGACACTCTTTTTTGGGCCCTGTATCTTCATCTACGCCTGGCCTTTCAGTAACTTACCAGTGGACAAAGTCTTCTCTGTGTTTTCTACAGTTTTCACACCTATATTAAACCCCCTTATCTATACATTGAGAAACAAAGAGGTGAAATCAGCAATTCATAAACTGAAGACCCAGTATGTAAGTTCCAGACTGTCTTCCCAGTTTTCCCTCATACGACTAGATTTGTTGAATTGAGTAGACAAGTGGAAACTTGTGGATACACAGATTTTACTGTTTTCTTGTGACCATCATTGTCTTTAAAAATTATTTGTTTAAAATAATAAATGCAATGCATGCTTTTTGTTAAATATTTATAAAGAAGCTTATATATAATTATGCTTTTTCTAATCATATTTGATATAATTTTATAGTTCATAGTTAATTGCTTATATTTGCTACATAAAATCTATGACAGGATTTTTCATAAAACATTGTACAATTTAATATATGAAATTAATTTTATAAAAATTTGGGTGCATATTCTTATATGCTAAACTAAAATGATATGTTTCTTTTATGGTCTAAAATACTCCAAGTAATTTGTAAGATTTGGCTTTAGCACTAAAAACCAAACCCATTAATATTCTTTTTTCATAGATTTTACATCAAAGAAGTTTGTTTGATTATTCATAGATTAATTCAGCATGTAAAATAATTTTACAGAAGTTTAAGGTAATACTTTTTAAATCCACCTTTATTGTTTTCCTTCTCACAATACTTGAGGGACTTCACACATTACATTTTTGAAGCTTTATAAAATCACTTGATGTTCGATAACATTTATTCTCTTATTGTTTTGTCTCCACAATGGTGTTGATATCAAAACATGACAGCCAGTTTAAAGTCCATAAAATAATTATGTAACACTGCACATAAAGGTTTGGACACTTGCCAATAAACCTACATAAAAATAGAACAAGACAAAAAGGCAGTTACTTCAGAACAATGAACATTATCATCTGGAAGCAAATTACGATGGCACCCCGACCCCAGTACTATGGACTGAATGTTTATGTCCTCTTCCCCCTCTCAGTGCTATGGTCCGAATATTTCATGTCCCATTCATATATTGAAACCCTTACTACTAAGTTGATGATATCAGAAGGTAGAACCTTTAGGAGGTGATTAGTTCATGAAGATGAAGCTTTCATAAATGTGGTTAGTGCGCTTATAAAAGCAACCCTAGAGTGTTCCTTCTCTTTTGCCATGTGAGGTTGCAGCAGAAAGACTGCTGTCTATAAACCAGGAAGTGGATAGTTATTGGCCACCAAATCTACTGGCCCCTTGATTTTGGACTTCCCAGGCTCCAAAACTGTGAGAAGTGAATTCCTATTGTTTATAAGCCACCCAGTTTATGGCATTTTGTTATAGCGGCAAGAATGGACTAAGATCCTGAGTGTTATATACCACCCTGACTTCCTCCAAGGTGATCTCACCCTAGAATGAGTGATATATAGGTGATATATAGGCCCAGCTGATATAAAATAAAGATAGGCAACACATTATTCTGTGGAGGTATCTTACTCACATTATGCGTTCACTGTGCTTTTAAACATAACTCATCTGGCAAACTTATCATCATCATCCTGGTTTTTGGGTTGGGTGATTCATCAATCCTGCATTGTACTGTTGCTTCTTTCCTGGTATCAGCATTGTGATCAACAACTAACTGGACAGCAACAACAGCTATAGATACCCCATGTGTAGTTTTTTTCTATAATATGTTAAATATTTTAAGTCTACGACCCATTGTAAGAAGTTAGATTTGTCTGGTCTTCTTCCTTTAAAACTCTCTATCCTTGATTTTTCTTGAACATTCAACCTAATTACTTTGCCAATTTTCACAGGAATACAGAGTTTTTGGTTTTGGAAAACAAAAATCAGGATCATCCATACCACTACATATTTCAAATAAGGTAGAAGAAATACATTATTAACTAGGCCCTTCTGTTCAAAAAGTACTCCATTAGGATGGACTGTGAAATTCTTGTGTTCATCAAATATGACTTTGGAAAATAACTAATGTCTGCAATGTACCTATTTATAGGAACTTTAACCAGACATACTAAATGTATATTTTAATGTAGTTACTGCTTTTGGAAAAACCTTATGCCAGGGGTGGAAAAACGTTTCATGTTGGAAGGCCAGATTAATTTAGCTATAATCAAATAAGGCTGCATTCAAAAATTTTCAATTAAATATACTTAAAAATGTACATTATTTTGTAAAAATCTAACTACTATGTACTTAATCTCAAAAATAAAAACTATTTGTTAATTTTCAAGTTAACTAACATTTTAATGACTTTGTGGTGTCTGCTGTTGGTTGCAAAACATTTGAATATTTGGTTGCAGCATGGAGGTCCACAGTCTCAGTTGATCCTCTAGATGGGTATCAGTCATTTGTGACCTTAAGGGCATCTTGGTTTCGGTTAGGTAGGAGAACATATATTCACAGCAATAAGTGGTTGAAAAGCAAGAAAGCATTTTTCAGGCATGTTGCCAAAGGCATGGGTTTTCTACTGCATTTTTCCATATTTCGATTGGATTTTTCTTAGCATCAAACAATGACTTTAAAATGTCAACAAGCACTACATGTATTTACCATCAAATTGATACTAATTGACCAACACATATGTGTACATATGGTGGTAACATTCATTGAGTATTTGGCAGGTGGGAGGGAGTAGAGGGGATGGGTATATTCACACCTAATGGGTGCAGTGTGCACTGTCTGGGGAATGGACACACTTGTAGCTCTGACTCAGGCAGGACAAAGGCAATATATGTAACCTAAACCTTTGTACCCTCATAATATTCTGAAATAAAAATTTAAAAAATGTCATCTATTGAGAGCTCAATCAATTCTATCTGTAGTTCTTTAGGTGCCTTGGTGATATCAACTAGGTGAGGCTAAAATGCTAATTTGAGTATGATGTCATGATTCTCAAAGTCAGAGAGCCTTTCATTGTATTCTCCAATTAATAATTCTATAACAGCTGCATATTCTTCAGGTGGTTTGCATGTGTCATCCTGCTCATCAATGACCTTTGCTAACTGGGAAAATTGGAAACAACCCAGATGTTTACTTATCGAAAAAAAAATGGACAAATATGCAATGTGCTATATTCATACAACGGGAAAACCTATAACATTAAAATGAATGAACTAAAACTATGTGTATCACTATTGATAACTGTTAAAAACAAATTATTAGGTGAAAAAATAGTAAATTATAAAATAATACATAGAAGATGCTACTACTTGTATAAAATTAGATAAGTATGCAAATTAGGCTGTCTATTTCATTGTGGATACATCCCTATGTAATACAACTATAAAAAATCAGAGGAATATTAAATACCAAACTCACATTATAGGTTAACTTTGAAAAATTGATTTAGGGTGTTATATGATATGCTTCCACTAACAATGTTTTATTCCTAATAAAAATAAAGGGAATATGGTAAAATGTTAAGATTTGGCAAAGTTTAACATTGTATAAAAAGATAGTCATTTAATAGTTGCCTATTTTCAGGGTCCTTGAAATATTAAAAATCATTTTTACAAGGGTAAAGTGAGGTTCAGAGAGTTAAAGTGATTTGTCTAATAGCTTATTCCCCGTTATTGGTAGAATTGAGAATAAGAACCCATGTCCTCTAAGTTCTAATTAATTATCCTTTCTTCCATATCAGCACATGCTCAGGTTGCAAGGACACAGTATGTCCTTCCATTTCCATGTGAAAATATTTCTCATTTAGGGAAAAGAAAGTACTTTTCTACACCTTTTCCCTGGAGTAGCAGGTCCAGTTGTACAGAATTCACAGAAGATATTTTACTCCATATACTTCCCAAGGGCTGGATGGCTCTCACTTTTTCTCCTATAGCACTATGGTCCTCATCGTAGTTGTCAACAATGTAGGATGTTATTTGCTTTGTTCCAATGGGAATATCTAGTGAAAGGTATTAATAATTCCCATGGGAATGTGGACGTTGGCTATTTATTGTTAAAAGCTTCAACTGGTCACTTAGATAAATCTATGGTACTCTTCCAATTTGACAAAAGAAAAAGGCACCTATAAATATTGCTACTCAGAAGAGATCGATTCCATAACAGAAAAACTGAAGAATTCAATTTACATCTCTGATATGCATTATAAAAGGTAGTATATGCCTAAAAAATATATGTATTAAAATAGATTATATACAGTTACATATTCTATTCATCCTTTTGCTGTGACTTAGAGAAGATCCATAAATGGGAGAAACATGTATTAGAAGTACAAGAAAGTGAATCAAGATGAGGATGTTTATGTGTGTGTGTCTAAGCATGCTTGGGAGAATTTGTGAGAAATTATGCAAGAAGGTAAAGTAGCAGAAAAACTGGGAATCCATTCTACTAGATGGGTATTTTGGAGGAGATTATGAAAAATCAGATTATACTCTTAACTATCACCTAAGAAATTAAATAAAGATGCAAATTAAGGCTATATATTTCTTTGTAGAGTAAGACTATTAAAAAATTATGGAAATGTTAAATACCAAACTCAGGTTTGTAGTTATGGTGTAGTCAGTAATTTATTTTACTTTGTGCTTAAAGTAAATAAAGTTAAGATTTATTTAACCCTATAGAAATAGAGTGAAAATTTCTTCTTTTTAAAGCATTTCTAACACTTTTTAAAAATGTGGTAATTAAAATATGGTTTACTTTCAATACAACAAATAAACTATTTTCTCTATGTTGCAATTCAAATGGATTATTTTATCCCCTTTGCATTTGTTAGGTGATTATGGGTGCTGGTTTTAATGAATTAAGTATGACTTTGTATTACCAATGAGATGAAATATTTTTGTTCTATGTAAAGACGGAGATTATTGTAGGTGGTTAATGGTTTGCTGAGTTCAAGGCCATTCATAGAGAAGGACTGTGCACAGGAAGATAAGAAGGTAGAAATATAGAGTGAATGTAGAGTGAATGACAAATATGAGATTAAATATATCTCAATTAACACTAAAAAGCACATTTATGAAGAATTTACTCCATGCACATCTCTATACAAATCCTGTGAGTGATACATAAGAAGCATGAGAATTCAAGAAGCTTCAATATGGCAGGAAAATGATATGTACACAAAGAATCTTACTTTGTGTTTTGAAAGCCCCCAGCTAAATTTCGGTTCCAGTACCAGAATGGCTAGCAGGTCTGCCCTAATGGGAAATGAAGGGGAGCTGGACTTGGGTTTTTCCAATGTGCCCTTCAGGGGATACTACTTTTATCAGAAAAGCCTAATGCCTTACACAGGAAATTTTATACTGGCAGGTGCCCTTGTGGCTCTTGTCTGACCTGTGCCTAGTTTATGCCTGCCTGATCATCGCTCTGGCCCTGAGAGCCCGACCGTGGGTTCTCCCCAGCATTCCAGGGAAAAACCCAACCAGGAGAAGCCCGTGGCTCTTCAGATGGAAAGGCACAAACTTAATGCAACACTGCAATAAGAAACATGCTCAAAAATTGTTACTTACATATCCTGGGCAGGAGAGTACGATGAGTTGAAAAGGCAGTCCTTCGTCCCTCGGTCACGTGGGGCCGGAATGAAGAGTCAGGCAGAGAGAGCGCAAGAAAACATGGCAACCAGCAGTATAAGTAAGGGAGCAGCGTGTGGGTCTCTTAAGTTTGCTGCCAAATGCCCGAACGATCCATTTACAGAAAGTGTCAGGAAAGCTGGGAGCCCAGCCTGCTAGGTGGGAGAGGGGCCTCTGAGGCCTTACCTCTGGCCACCAGCTTGAACGGTTTGGGTGTAGTATAGAAATGGAAACTGTTTTAAGGGAGACTGAGTCTTGCTTCTGGTATGAGAAAGTTGAATTTATATTCAAAGTGTATGCCAAGCCAATGTAAAATTATAG